CATTTTTGATCCTTTTCCCGTTTTTATTTACTCTTTTCGGTGCTGCTGAACTATTAGACAAGCTGTAAAATAGTTTCTTTTACTCCATATTTATGGAATTTAATTTTTGATAAGTATACACACACTTAAATTATTTTTTCTTTTTATTTCTAAATTATTGAGAGCGTGAGTTTTATAGTTAAATATCATTTGTTGATTTAAATTAAATATATTAAAACTAAAGATAAAAAAATTATTATCCCCAAAATTATCATATATATATATATAAAGAAAATTTTAATCTCACCTACGTGGCACCACCACAAACAAAAATTTCCTTTTTAAATTTATTTATTTTCAAAACTAGTTTCTCCTTTATGAAAAGTTGCGACTTTTATGAAGAGTTGCAACTTTAATGAAGACTTGTGATTTTTATGAAAAGTGTCGACTTTAATGAATAGTTGTAGTTTTTATGAAAAGATATGACTTTAATGAATGATTGTGACATTTCACAAGGTTACAACTTTTCCAAATAGTTACAATATTTCAGATAAAGCACAATAAATATTTGTGCATGCTAGCCTTTGTTGTCTATAAATTGAGGCATTGCTCTCATTTTAAAACAACGAAAATTTTAAATCTCCTCTTCCTCCTCCTCCTCTTCTTCTTCTTCTTCACAACAAAATATTTGTGTACTTTGTTCTTGTTGAGTGATTCACTTACATCATTGCTTATGTTACATATTTTGGTATGTATTTTTACAGTCATTAGTTTATAATTCTGTATTTAGGATAAATGATAATATGCAATAAATTTAATTTTTTCTTTACATTATTAATGTTTGTTATCATGTAATTTTATGTGTAAGATAATACTGTGTTTTAATTTTAATGACTAATAGTTTTTAAATATTATTTATAAATTATGTGATACTAATTTTTTGTGCAAACTGTAGATAATTTAACTAGTTATATATAAGATAAAATATAATATATTTTTTATAGTGTTCTTTTTGTTTTCGTTTAATCTCTCCCCCCCCCACCCCCCACCACTCCCCTTCAATATTAAATTTAGATATTAATTTACTTTTAGAAAAAATAATTTTACCCACTCCATTTAACCTTCTACTTTCATTCTTTTTTCGTTTTGTGTTAGCTATATACGTATTGAAAATATTTTTTACTTGCTATCTCCAGACCTTTTTTCAAATAATATTTTTATGTTAGATTCGATACAAAAGTAGAAAAAAAATCTTAAATTTATTTATTTCTAAAATTAGTATCCTCTTTCATAAAAAGTTGTGACTTTTATAAAGAGTTGTCACTTCAATGAAGACTTGTGATATTTATGAAAAGTTATAATTTTTATGGATAGTTACGAGTTACGACTTTTATGAAAACTTGTGACTTTTATGAAAAGTTGCAACTTTAATGAAAAGTTGCTACCTTAATGAAAAGTTACTTTTATGAATGATTGTGACATTTCCGAAGGGTTGCAACTTTTTCAAATAGTTATAATATTTTTGATAAAACACAATAAATATTTGTGAATGCTACCCTTTGTTGTTTATAAATAGAGGTATTCCTCTCATTTTAAAACAACAAAAATTCTAAATCTCCTCCTCCTCCTCTTCTTAATCTTATTCACAACTAAATATTTGTGTACTTTATTCCTGTTGAGTGACTCACTAATATCATTGCTTATGTTACAGATCTTGGTATGTATTTTTATAGTCATTAATTTATACTTCTATATTTAAGGATAAATGATAAGATGTAATAAATTTAATTTTTCTTTACATTATTAATGTTTGTTAATTGTTATTATATAATTTTCTATGTAAGATAATATAGTATTTTAGTTTTAATGACTGATAGTTTTTAAATATTACTTTAAAATTTTCGTGATACTAAATTTCCGCGCAAAGCATGGGTAATTTGGAAGATGTATTCTTAGTTTCGATTATAACTTTTCTTAATATAGTGTTTAATTCCCTTTTTTATATAATAAATACTATGCACATTCAGATATTGAAAATAAACAATCTTATTAATTTAATATTCAGATCTAGAAACTACATCTAAATAATCAGACAACCATTCAGATCATGACATGTAAATCTTAATGTTAATTTTAACATTCAGATGTACATTCAGATTCAGACTTGTTAATCTTAATGAAAACAAATGAAGCCTAAGACTTACATTACATTCTTGTACTATATTAGTGAACAAAAAATATAATTTTAGTATTTAAAATATAATTCTTCTTTCTATTCCAGTTAAAAAACTAATGCTGTTTTTCTGAAAAGTGATTTTCTGTCTCCCATCTCCTTATTTTGCCCCTCTCAAATCTGTCCCATTATAATCAATATCAAAATCAATTTTTTCTCTTCAACAAGAGTAGAAAGTAGAGCAGAGGCTATACACAAACAAGGTAAATGAATAAAAAATCTTTGAAAAATTCTAGTTTTTCTTATTTGAAAATATTTGTAATTTTCTATTTCTCTAACTAAAACATCTTCTTCATTCTTAAAACACTCGATATTGCAGGTTGCAACATAACAACTAATCGAAACAACGTTGATTCGAAGTTTAAGTGATTGATCGTCCATATCCAACTATGGTATTATCGATATTCAAGACATCTTACGGATTTTAATAAATTTGCAATGCCTTTCATATTAATTTATAAGTAAGTGTTACTGAGATTATGTAACTTTTTCAGTTGGCGAGATGAAGAGACCAATGTAAACTAGTGAGGAGCATAGACAAGAAAGTAGAGCCTACCCATCCTGTGATTCGAACACTTTCAAAAATAGTAGATCTAGAAGCACAACTTCAAAATTATTACAAAAAATAGAAGCAATTAGCGAAGAACTATCCGACAAGATCAACAAAAGTGAAAGTTGCAAAGTGAACATTATGAAAAACTGATATAGCAATGGGAGTAGTTGTTTTTATGTTATATTAAACTCACTTGAACTTCAAGTTCAATAAAAAGTATATGGTATAGTCTAATCATTTTTTCCTTTTCACATCTTGAGCACTTCAAACAACAAAATAACCACTAAATAAGCAAAAAAAACAAGAGCAACAAAATAGTAAAAATAATATAAAGCTGCAAAATTGCAGAAAACCAACAAATATCTGGATAAACCATCAGCAAAACAACAAAAAATCGCTAGAAAAAATTGAGTTTCCTTGTTGGTTTTGCTCTTGATTATTTTGCGAGAAAAAATTATTTTGATCTTGATTATTTTGTGAAGTTCTAAAAAATTATTTCATTCTTTGTTTTGCTGAATATGGAAGACATGGGACTGAGTTGAGAGGGGCAAAATAAGGAAATGGGAGAGAGAAAATCACTTTTTGAAAAAGCAACGTTATTTTAAATGGAATAGACAGAAGAATGATTTTTGTTTATATTTTTAAAGACAAAATGGTCTAAAAATCTCAAACATATAACCGAAATTTCAACTACACACTCTAACTTCCTTAACTTTATATTTCTCTATTTTCTACACACATAAGTGTTGACCTTTCATGGGAGGTGCTCTCACCTCCTCTAGGTGAGTTAGAAGGTGAATTCTAACTAAAAAATCCTCTTTCTCCAACGTTCATCTTCCCACCCCTAAATAAATCGTTGTTTCTTCTTTTTCACCATTAGCCCTTGTTCTTTTTACAAAATTTTATGACTTCCTCTCAAAATTAAGTAGAGTTTAGTTGTTAATGTTTATTTATACTTCAAAT